TTTTTTTTTTTTTCTTGGTATGAGTACTATATCCAATCCATCAAGAAACCTTATTATTGGCTCTAACTTCAAATATAGCCAGAATCTGACCACTTCTCATCTATATTTTGTGATATCATCCTGACTAGTCTGTTTCCACACTTGCCATTGATCCATCTGAAAGGTAAATAAAGTCACACTGCTCTTGTCAAAACCCTGCAGTTTTCCCATTTCATTCAGAGTCCAAGTAAAATGACTTACGATGGTTATAAGGCCTTACGTGACCTGGCCCCTGTACCCTCACTGACCTCACCTGCAGTCACTCTCCCAATTGTTCATTCCACTTCAGCCATGCAAACCAAAACCCACTGCCATTAAGTCAATTCCAACTCATACCAACTCTATGAGACAAAGTAGAACTGCCCCTATAGGGTTTCCAAGGCTATAAACCTTTACAGAAGCAGACTGCCTCATCTTTCTCCCATAGAGCAGCTGGTAGGTTCTAACTACCAACTTTTGGTTAGTAACCAAATGCTTTAACCACAGTGCCACCAAAGCCCCTATACCATGCAAGCCAAAGACTTTCCATCTCAGAGTCTTACACTGGTTATTCCTTCTGCTTGAAACATCTTCCTCCTGATGTCTACATGGCTAACTCTAGTACATCACTCATCTCTTTGCTCAACTGTTACCTTCTCAATGCTGCCTATACTAAACACTCTGTTAAAAATTGCCACAATCCCTACTCCCTCTTATGATTTTCTTTTTTACCCTGTTGTAATTTTCTAAAAGTATCACCTTGAAATATACTACTTAATTTACTTATTTGTTTGTTTATTGTTTATTGGCTACTTCTCCCCACTGTAACTTAAGCTCTAAAAAGGACAATGTTTTGCTTTGTTTTGTTCACTGATGTATTCCTGGCACATAGCAGGTGCTCAATTTACACATGTTGAATGAATGAATTTACTTCCCCTACTACACCATAAGTAACTCAAGGCTAGGCACTCTGCCTTAAATGGCTTCCTTGTATATTGATGCTCAATAAATATTCATTAAATTAAGTAGCACAAAACAAAACACACGGCTTGTAAAAGTACCTTCATTTCTCAGAACCCTGTTACATTTCTTCCTCGCACTAGCCTGAGTCCTACAATTTGTTCTGGACAGAGTATTCACCTGCCTGGTTCCTTAGCAAAATGACAGCAGGATGCATTGATACAATGTTTACCACTGATGCATTATCTCAGAGGTGAGTCTCTACCTACCTCCAAAGAGGTAAATGGCCTAGATTTCAAGAGATCATCCCATCCATAAGGCCTCAGACGTGACAAGTCAGAAAATGGGAACAACCCCTTGCTTTCACATATATATTCCACACTGCATCTCAACTTCAGTGCCTGTTCCTTCATATATTCCTTTAGACTTCCTCAAGCTGTTGCTCATTCCTGGTGGCTGCTAAATCAATTGACCATATTGTACTGGTTTGCTTCAATGTGTTTGTTTACTGCATTAAGAGCATGATTATTTCATGGTGCTCAGCTGCCTGGCTCGCTTCCAGATCCCTCCTCTCCCAGTCTCTCACTCTGTAAAATGGCAATTTCTCTCTACCTCTGAAAGCAAGAACAACCTGACTTGTTTGACTATCACATATTTCTCTCAGTTCTTCTGGGATTCTTTGCCTTTACTGTTTGAACTCGGTGGCCTGAAATTAGGTAAGAACCCATCACAAATAACCCTGCCAAATGCATCTTTATCCCTTTCAGCTTCCAGTTACTGCCTTAGCCAATGCTCTTCCCTCCTTTTGTTTTGTCATTGTATTGCAAGTGAAACATGTACAGCTATTTGAGCAAGTCCAAAAATGTAATAGGAACATGTTCTTATCTAAAATGTCACTTCCCCAGTATTCTTTTTGGTCTGTTATTTATTAGTCAGAGTAAAACACCTTGAGCCCTGTAATTTCCCAAACAGCTTTTGCATTCTCTAAACAACCAAAAATCTCATGGTTCCTAATTAAAATATTAAAGGTGGAATTCAAATAACCTCCAGAAGGCAAACTAGTGCCTTCACTTTAAGTTTCTAGGGTTAAAAAGCAACCCTTTGCCAACAGGAAAAAAAAAAAAAGAAAGATGTTTTTAAGTCTATAGTACAAAGACTTCAAATAGCATTACACACCATGTTATTTTCTTTCCAGAAAATTCTAACACTATATAATTACTTTTGTGTAGAAAATGAATAACGTAAGCCTCTAATGCCAAAAACAGCTAAACAGAAACCATCCAAATCAGATAGATAGGCCTTTCCCGAAACCAAATAAAATATCAAAGTACAAAATATGTCTGAGGAAGGCCCGTGGAAAAAAAGCTCCTGAATTATTATTCAATAGAAAAAAAAGAAAAAGAATATGGTGAGGAAGAAAGTTAAGTGGAAAAGAAGTGTTTTCTCATCTATGTGGTAGGGTTTGTGTAAGTCCCCTGCTTTAAAGAAACTGTAAAGCTGACTGCACCCCCAAAATGTCACAGGAAAAAATACGAATCAGAAATGCATCTAGGAGCTTCCAAAGCTTCTGGTTAAAAATAACAGCAAAAACATCAATTAAGCTCCGTCTATTGACATAGAAATGCGCTGATACAGAAAACCAAAATCCCACCTGCATGGAAATTAAGCCTCAGCTACACCCCCAATCCAGAGAAAACCGTGTTTCACTCCGGTCGCTGCTGAAACAAATCCCAGCAAATACATGCAGTGGGTTTGTGTGTTGGGGGCAGGGGTACTATGTGCAGAACGCACCTCTTCGCCCTCCCCCCAAAATTGCTTCAGAAATGTGGACGCATTCGTGACTTCACTTAGGCGGAAGAAAGCCGGCTCCGGACAGCCTCCTCGGGCTCCGAGGTGGCCGCGACGTGCAGCAGGCGGCGGGGGCGGGTGGCCCAGTCGCGCCTCCCCCTTTCCCCCTTCCCAAGCCTCAGTCGTCTGCACCGGTTTCTGGCTCCAGCCTCTGGGACTCGAAGACCTGAGCAGGCTCTTTGTCTGCCCAGAGTGGCGGACCTCCCAAAGACGTTTTAACAGGAGTAATTCCCGCGCTGGCAACATCTCAACAGCCCCGAGCGAGCGAGCCGACTCAGACTCGCTCAACGCCCAGCCAGCCGACACCAGGACCCGCGTCTGGGTCGGTCTGCCTAGTCAGTCTCACCCCAGCCTCTTCAGCCTGCGTCTCCAACGCCCCGCCTGCAGCCTGGCACCCAGTAGGGGCTTTCGGGCACTGTAGCTTGAAAGGCTCACTTTCCACTAAGTGACCAGCCATGTTAGCCGACTCGGGACGCCAATCAGGCGGAGAAGAGCTAGCCGTCGGTCTTCAGGAGCGCTCACCCGGTCCCCTCCGCGCCTCCGCCCCCGCGGCTGCGACTGTTTCCAAACTCCTTGGCGCAAATGGCCGGGGCCCCATTACCCTCTCCCCTTCAAACGGTTTAGCACCGAAGACAGCGGACATACTTTTCTCCCCAGTGGTCCCCACAGCCGGGAGGATGGCGTTGGCGGCGCAGGCAGGGCTGCAGGTGTCCGGACCGCGCGCCATCCCGCATCCCCGCGGCGCCCCTGCGCGCCCACCTCCCTCGGGCGGCTCTCACAGGAGAGCCCCGTGGACTCTTACTTTTCTGACTGGAGTAACCGGGGTAATAGCCATAGTAGCCGGTGATCCTCAGAATCCGGTCTTCGATGGTGGCTACCCCGTTGGGGGCCGCCTTGACATCCATAGAGAGCGCGGGGCGGCGGCCCCGGGCGCCGTGGAGCGGAGAGCGCAGCGCGGGGCCCGGGAGCTGGTGCAGGCGCCGCCGCCGCCGCTGGCGCGGATGTTGCAGCTCGTGCTCCCGCGTCCGGGCTCTGACTCCACCGCCCGGCGCAGCACCGGCTCCGCATCACAGCGGCGGCGGCGGCGGAGCGGCCCCCACTCGGGCGGGCCTCTCCGTCAGCCTGGCAGCTCTCCCGCCCGCCACCCCGCGTACTGCTGTCCGAACAGCGCCCCCTCACCTCCGACGCCCTCGGCGGCCGGGGGCGTTCGGGCGACCCACCTGGCCGCCTACTCTCATCGTTAACCCTTGCGTGCCCCTTCCCAGAAGAGTAGACACCCCCTACCCCCGCCAGACAGAGGTGGGGTGTGGGAGGAGGCGAAGGTGAGACAGCGGCCAGGGGCTCAAGGAGGAGGGTTGGGGATAGGAAAGACCCAAGTGGAATTGAGGGCTGTTAAGGGGAAAGGTGAGGACTGTCACTTGGGGCGATTACACCTCTGGGGCGCCCTTGGGGTTTTGCCCACCAGTATCATTTACACTGAATTCTGTCTGCTGATCTGCAAGCGTTTCCAGGCGTTAATATGTTCTCAAAACTTGCCTAGACGACAGGCAGTGTTTATTTAAGAAATGAAAAGAAAATGAGGCTCAGGGAGGTGGTATGCGGAATAGTTTTGTGGGCACAAAGACTTTTAAGAGTTGAGGCCCCCAATTCTGACAGTTCAGGTCCCGACTCTCCACCCTCTGGTAGAAAGCATCAAAGATTTGATAAACGCAGCTGCCCACGGCTTGTTTATTTTTGACAATTTCAAATGCCCTGAGGAGACGTGATTATCTCCTTTATTGCCTGAAAACTTTAGGAAGGAAGCCTATGAAACTGTAACTATGTGGAAGAATGAAGATTTAGTTACAGTACAGAGACATTCCATGCGAATCCAGAAAGCTCTTGAAGCTGTGAGTACAGAGTGAATACCTCCCCTCTGGTGTGGTTGGCAAGATGCTGGGGCAGGGCTGATGAACAGCGGGGATGATCCCTCTGGTCATAGTTTGCAGTCTCAGATGCCTGAATAATCTTCCGAGTCTCATCTCAGAAACAAAGGGATGTGTGTGTGTCCTAGGGGTCATCAGCTCATCAGTTTAGAGGTCATTATACCCACTTTGCACTCACAGCCAGTTTAAGACATCCCTGCCTGGTTTCACATTTCTAAAATTTAGGGGAGGAGACGTGAAAATGTCCACTTTAAAGTTAAAAAAAAAAAAAAAAAAAGGAACTCATCACACTATTTCACTTCCATGCATTTTCCATGGGTGTTCTGTCTGGGTCCTTAAGAGGCAAGACGTATGCAAAGTTGTTTTGTTTGTTTGTTTGTTTTTGTTTTAAGGTAAATTGGGTTTAAATATCTTAAACTTCACAATATGTTAAGGGTGTTCATCCAACAAATTCTAGCACAGGATCTTGAGAGAAGAGTGGATCTGAGACGATTATGGCTGGGAGAACAATTCATAAAGAAACCAATTTCCTCCCACACCTGCTTTCAGGGCTAGGGAAGGCAGAAGGATGAATGGAACTCAAAGGTCATAATGAATTAAAAGGAAGAGGCAGCAATGGTGCAACAGTGCAATTGTGGAGAGCTAAACTTTCAAAGCAAAAATGAAAGGCTATCCCTCCCCGCAGGAAGCTATTTTCAGCGAGCTTTTATTACTTTCATTATTTACATGACAAACCTTATATAAAATGCATGCATTGCACACAGAAAAATGAATTGATCAAGATAATTTAAAATGTCCCTCTTATTTAAAGTTTGTATAAAACATCAATTTGCTCATATTTATATCTACTAGGTGTTTAATAACATTCGTCAGTATCCACAGCACATTAATATATGCATTCAATAAAAAGAGAAATTAAGAAATAATTCAAGCTAGAATCTCTTAATATGACACAAACATGACTATGTGTAAGTTGTTACTTTGTTCCTAGTTTTGTTTTGTTTCCAGAGATTTCTGGAAAAGTAGTTAGAAATGTGTTTAATAGGATCCGATCATTCACACACATTGCAAATTCAGCACAAATTTAAATAATGTAAATATTATACACACAGGAGTCTCTGTTTTCTTTAAAAGATTATAAAAAATTCTCAGCATGACCTGGAAATAAATTTTAAAATAGCAGAGCATTTGCAGAGCACTTACAAATGTCTCTGTAATCATCTGTAATAGGATGACTGGAACAGTAAATGCACACAGATAACTGGAATCTAGGACACTTTTTTTTAATGGCAGAAGCCTGAAATTCTACAATAATAAATCAATCAACAGTGAACAGTAAATTTCTGCTAGTGATCAGCACACTTTTGTGGATATGATTTAAAAAGATTTTTAAACATTTCAAATGTCATTTTTGCCATAATTAAAAATCTACATAAATTCTTTTGGAGGAGAGAAATTTTTCAAAACATTTTTATGTTTGTATATTGAGTCTATTCATTTTCACAAACCCAAATACAAAAATTTAAATGTATGATATATGAATTAGCAGTTTGCTTCAAAATTATTCTGAAAGAATAAGAGATAGAATTAAGCAAAAATTGAAAGCAGTTATTTGATTCAGAAAAGATTTCTTCATGGTAGTTCTTCACTTAGCTATTATACCTAGTCATTGCAAATCATCATTCAATTTACAGAAGTTATGTTTGAACACAACTTTTTGGGAATATGTCTAATGCATTAAGCAAATAGCATCTGTCTGTGATTCCACGGGAGTTTTAATATCTGGACCATATTTATTTTGCTCATCTAATCAAATAACATTAGCTATTTAGACTAATTAAATATACTGAAATTGGGTATTTATATTGTAGAAAAATGCTAAATCATTTGTAAAATAGTCCATGTGATGGCCATTTAACAGTCTTTGTATCTGCTGCGAAATTAACTACGCTGCTGCTGTTGTTGTTGTTTCCCCTCAAGTCTATTCCAGCTCACAGTGACCTGAGGTGACAGAGCAGAACTGCCCCATATGGTTTCCTGGGCTGTAATCTTTATAGTAGCACATCATCAGGGCTCTTCTCCTGAAGAGACTCTGGGGGATTGGAACCGGTGACCTTTCACTTCGCAGCCACAAGATTAACCACCAAGCTATAGTATTAAAAACTAAATCTGATCACTGGATACAAATTCTATTCAATGATATATAATGCTGTTGTTGTTGTTATGTGCCGTCGAGTCAGACCCAACTCATAGCGACCCCTCCTTGGTTTCCGAGGCAGTATCACTACAGAAGTAGATTGCCCCAGGAGTGCTGGTAGGTTTGAACCACCAGCCTTCCAGTTAGCAGTCAAGTGCCTTAGCCACTATGCTACCAGAGCTTCCAATGATATATAATATGTCATATAAATATTTTAAAATACCACATCAGCCTTTATGCTTTTGAAGGCTTGTTGTTGTTGTTGTTGTTGTTATGTGCCATCGAGTCGGACTCGACTCATAGCGACCCCTCCTTGGGTTTCCGAGGCAGTATCACTACGGAAGTAGATTGCCCCATCTTCCTTCCGAGGAGTGGCTGGTGTGTTTGAACCGCCAGCCTTCTGGTTAGCAGTCAAGTGCCTTAGCCACTATGCTACCAGAGCTCCCTGAAGGCTTAGTACAATAAAATCTATGGAATCTAGGCTTCCTCGTACTAATTAGCAACTATGGATCAGAAAAACTGGATTTTATTCCCCCTTCCATAGCTGGCACAAGTCACTTAATCTTTTGGACCATCTATTGAGAGTAACATTTAAAAGATGCTAAAAGGCAAAAAGATTTCCCCATCCCACCCTGCAGCCCCTGGGAAAGAAATACAGTGTACCTAGCTCCTTGGGTAGCTCCTTGAGTAACTTCACTGCTTGGAGAGCCAAGAATGTTTAAGCTTTTATACCCAAAGGTCAGTGTTACCTTGAACAACCGTTACCACTATTTACAAAGAGTTGATGCCAATCGTTTGCACAGTGTTTGAGTTGAAAAGCATCTCACCTCTAGTTGACCAGATGATAAGCACTGGAATCTGGGAAGAAAAAAAGTAGTCTCAATATTCCATTTTTAAGAACACTGTTTTGAATATTTCAATCACCAACTCATCAGTGACACCGTTTGTAATGTTAATGCTGCCTTTCTATTACAACTTTAGGCAGTGGCAAGTATTGTTAATTTATGTTTTCAGCTGAAGATAGGACTGAGAAGGATTGGGGGTCCCATACTCTTGCTATCTGTCTAGGAAGCAGTACAGATCACACTATTCATTGACCTTGGAAGCCAGGTTCCATTACATAGTATTTTTGAGGTTCAACTACTTAGAAATGCATTGAACTTTTCTGGAGAAAGTCTTAAGTAGTTTCAACAAATGCATCCAAATTTTGGAATTTGTGTATGATCTCTCTCTCAGCAGAGAGAATCACAGTATAGCCCAGTGGTTAGGAACATGGACCTTGAGGCCAGACCAAAATCTGTTGCCATCAAGTCGATTCTGACCCATAACAATCCTATGGGTTTCCAAGGCTGTAATCCACAGAAGCAGACTGCCATATCATTCTCCTATGGAGCAGCTGGGGAGCTCAAACCACCACCAGAGCTCCTTGGAGCCAGACTACAGAGGTCAAGTCTGCTATCATCACTTTCTAGCTGTATGACTTTGGGAAAAATCACTTGAATGCTCTGTGACTTAATCTTCTCATCTGTAAAATGGGAATACTGTTCCTATAGGTATTTCATACAACTATTATGAAGATTAAATGAGTTTATATTCATAAGAGCTTATAACGGTGCCATATAATGTTACTGTTTTTGTGTGCCATTGAGTCAATTCTGGTCCACAGCAACCCCATGTGATGGAGTATAACTGCCCCCTTGGGTTTCCTAGGCTATAATCTTTAGAGGAGCAAGTCACCAGATCTTTTCTTTCAAAGAGCCACAACCTTCAATCTTTCCATTAG